TCACATATAAGCTTAATATTTCTAAAACTGACTGACTTATATGTTTCCATTACAGGAGTTAAGGAAACATCATGTGACATACATATACTGTATTTACTTTCATTTTAATTTGAGGTTTTATTTTTAACTTTATAAAATATACTGAATTGTTATCGCCTCTAGCCATTCTACTTAGAATTATAACTTTATTAACAAATAAATAAACATTGTTTTCTAGCAATTAGGAAATGCTGAGGCCAGTGGGGGGGGCACATTTCTCTTTAGGGGTGCCCATTGCGCACAATTCCCGTCGTGTCGCACCTGCATGTTTGTCACGAGCCACACAAATCACACGTGCGAAAACTAGTCACTTCAACGAACCATTTCCTTTTAAAACTAGAAATGACCGACGCAACAAAAAGTTGTAACACAAAGCAGCGCAGGTGTGTTTAATCCCATTAATGCCCGGTGACGTCATTTATCACAACCGGGACACACAACTCGGCCAGTGTTTCCACAAAGTCAAACTGATAAACGTTTACGTTTATTTTAGCAAGAGAAAGTGCCTATGAGTAAACACACTGCGTGTGCGCACACAACTTTTAACACTTTTACGCACTAGTAAAATAAAACTTACTCTGGATCTGTGCKCGACTCCGTTTGACACCTCGTTTACTTATATTTCACCTAACTGTACTTGTATGTCTTTTTCTCTCTCTATCTCCCTTTCTTTCTTTTCTCTTCTTTGTCTTTAGCCGACGTGCTACCAGGCCGTGCTCTCTGTTGGGACTGTGGTCGCTGTGGAAACCGACTCCTCTCTCGCGACACCTGCGCGGGTGCGCGCGTGCTGATAAACTTTGTGTCTGCTATCTAATTCTCAACTTTAGACCGGTTATTACCGCGTGACTTCTGTTGTTGGGGCGAATAAACATCGAATTCAAAGGCACTAATTCCCTTATTGCCTGAATAATCACGAGCAGTGGGAATTATTTTTTCTAATTGATGCCAACTCGCAGCATCAAGATAAATTTAATAGCGTTGATTAAAGCTTTGAACCCAAGTTTATTTTATTCCTTAGCGTACTTTAGAGTTGTCTTTAGTCATTGGAGAAGAAGTTCTCCAGATATTTCGTGTTGACAAGCTTTTAAAGATCAGAAKCAAAGTGATTTCCCATTGGTCCCCATCAAAATGTGAAGGAATTAATTTGATAAGGGCGAATTACAAAAATATAGTGCACGGGTCCACATGAGGCTTTTAGTCTGGATGGAAAAGCATTACTATATTTTTACTACACAGTTTTAAATGTAAAACAACAAAAAAAATTGAAGTCTATTTACCATCTTGTCTGTAAGTTTATGTGTACTGCTTGATCAATTTGCATTCATCTTTTTTCCTTATAATAAAAAATAAATTGTCTAATCTTGAATTCTTAAARCATTTGGCCCACAGTTTGATAAGTTTTGTTCATCCAGCTCATTATATTCATCMATTTGGGCGGTGTTGTCATGTACTGATAAACAAAACTTTGAYCTGAGGGTCCATCTCATTTTGCATGGATAGTTCTTTTCATGTACAAGTCAACTTGTGCCAGGGGAACTAACGCAGTGTTTCCTAAATCAAACTAAATTTAAACTAATTATCATTAGGATTTTTAGCCTCTGTTACAAAAAGTGTAACAAAAGCCTATTAAATAAAACAAATAAATATGATGTTTGATAAGGATCTTTGTTAAATTGCTTATCAGCAATATTGTTTACCCACACAAAGCAATAATCACGAGTTTGTGTGACTTATTTTGTGGGTCGAATGTGGAAATGTTTGTGAATCTCTGCATCATTTACAGATGATGCTTTTAAGCTGAAAACAAGCTGTAAGGTTGTGCACCTTATGCTGGACAATACAAAATCCTAAGAAAATAAACAAAAGAGCACCTAAACAAATTGAAGTATTGATTTATCTGAACACAAAACCCTATTTCATTTTGTTCCAGTTCATCCCACACAGCAAAAAAAAAAAACAGAGTGTTAAAATGCCAGTGTTAAACTTTTCAGTTGATTTTAACTCCTGGAGTCTTTTCAAATACTTTCTAAGTTAAAGGGGACCTATTATGCAAATTTCACTTTTTAAAGTTTTTTTTTACTCAACTTTGGGTATGTACTTCTTTAAAAAACAGTCCTAGGACCAAAAAATGCACCCAGGGGCATATTTACTGTAAGCAAATGTATTTTTAATGTATATTACCGACAAGTTTTATACTTATGTCATTTTGTGATGTCACAAGCCGTATGACAACCCACCGGAACCTGCGTTCAGCCCCTCACCTAGCAAACCCCGGGTGAAGCTCCACCTCCTCAATATTAAAAGCCATCACGGTTGTTGTTGTGCAACGCGCAGCTCATATCACAACAAGCCTCCAATAGGGCAATGGGTAGAGTGTTGGAGCAGAGCTCCTGGAGCAGGAGATCAGGGTTTGAGACTGGCAAGGACACAATTTAATTATTTATTTTCATTCGTTAGGAACATGTTTTCTCATGTACCATATTGTTTAGCTTATTGCAGCCTTGTTAAAGCCTATTTGTTCGAGTTTCTGAGGTATTTTGACCGCTGCTGCTCCCTGCTCTGGTAACAGAGCACAGAGCAGAGGATGGGGAGGGGAAAAAAAGAAGCTGCGACCATGACTCTGCTTCTGGGTCTCACTCAGGGTCTCATATGGTTGTACAACGGAGCTTCTGCTATTATTAGCCATGCTAACGTAAAYGCTGGCTTTGGAGGGCGGAGTTAATGTCAACMGATTTTTGGAGGGCGTTACCAACAGAGCTCATTAACATAAACAGCTCTTCTGAACGGAAGTCAGAGCAGGCAGAACTAGAAAAYGGGAAATTTTATTATCTGAGAATCATTTTGTGCATTAAATTGAATGAACATGGTCTGGATAGCCCGCAGACATGCCATAAAAAATTTCTAGGACCCATAATTGGTCTCCTTTAACTGACAGCCAGTGTTGGTGTTAATTCACAAAGTTGATTTCACCAGTGTTGTCATAACCCTGGAGAGAGTTAAATAAGCTCCAACCACTCTTGAGTAACACATAAAAGTGTTAAATGTCATATAACACATAAAAGTGTTGTTATTTAACACAATGTAGTGTTGATTCTGAAAAGCCCCGCCCTCTTCCACCTCATGCCATCTGAACAAAGCAAAGGATGCTGGGTAATCTGGTAGAAATTATTTGTTTTGCATGTGTATGACTTAAAGATGTTCATGAGTGTAAAGACGARTTGATCTGCTTTGTTGTTTGGTTCACGTTAGTTAGTTGTCCAAGTTTAAGTTTGTGTTATTGGTCACAAATCGACACCACGAGAGGTACTTCCTCTTATGTGWAGGTCGACTTTGTTGTGCTGTTGTGTTCACACACATAAAGAGTTGACCCCAACTCTGAGCCAGAGTGTATAACTCATACTGATTTTATATGTTAAGCTACTAAATGCAGAATGCACTTTACAAGTATTGAAAAACAAAACAATAGATGTTAACTCATTAACATAATGATAAAACACAATTCTAGTGTTAAAATACACTTAAATTGACACAATTCATGTTAAAAATTTAACACTAACCGTGAAAGGGAATAACACAATTTTGAGTTAAAAGTGCATTTATGCAATGTCATACAAGAACACCAGTGGGTGTCAAATTTTAACACTATTAAAGAGTGAATATTAACACTTTGAAAAGTATTAATATTTAACACTTTTAAAGTGTAATTTTATCTCAGAATCTGTCGAAACCATTTAAACTCAGAAAAAGTGTTMAATTTAACACTCYGTGAGTTAAATTAACACTGATCCCATATTAAACTTTTGTTTTCTTTTCCTGGTGCAGTTTTAGCAACGAGGTTTTCAGAGCCCAAGCACCGAACTTTATCACAAAATTGTTCCTGTTTGTTGAAGCAGTGTCATTCAAGAATGCTCAAACAGACTGACTCTTGTACATATTTCTAGAATCATTATATTTCACGACAAAGGAGACAAACTGTYAGCCTAGACTTCCCTCCTTCTTTTAGCTCCTCCAGCCTTGTCATCCTCTCTCCACTCCGCAGCACAATAATGCCATAGCAAGCACACCTCCTCTTAGCTCCTAAACCTTGTTTTTTTTTCCTCTTTCCCTTAGTCGGTCTCTCCCTCTTCCAACATTGTTGGCACATAACCTATTGCTCCTGCCATAAGGGAAGTGTGGGTGTATGACTTATCGAGCGTGCCTTTGAGCTTGTGTGTGTGAATGGTCATTTAGGGTTGTGACCCTCCAGCTGGATTCTGTCTGTGCCGCTAAACAGTGACTCCCTCCTGCTCCTGTTCTCTCTCCCAGCTCTGCCTGTTCAGACAGCGGGGCGTGCGGCGGCATACCGATGAGTCGGAGGGAGGAGAGGCTTTGGGCRGTGAAGTGATGGCCTGTGGAGGTATGGGGCGAGAGCTTTTGGGGTGGGGGTTTGGTGAGGCCAAAAGGCACACGAAAGAACGACACAAGAGGAAGAACAAGAGAGCAACATGATGCATGAAAGGAGGGCTACAACCGCGGAGCTGTTGCAGGAAAAGGACAAGCACTGTTCTGTGAAATGTCAGGACCATTTAATTCATTAGGAGGCAATCATTACGGCACTGCACTGAATGTCATCTGCCGGGTTAAACATTTTCTAGCAGCCAAATGTTGAATGTATTGTATACTGACCGCTTGACAACGATTGGAAACATTTTAGAAAAGAGAGTCTGGAAATAGAAAGCGCAGTCGGCCACCCTGAGGTAAAATCAATCCCTGCCGCTGTTTAACGTCGGCGCCGCACTGAGAAATCATTTGCTATACATTCAAACTCATAAAAACAAACCAAAGAGGCCTGATCAGAAAAACAATTAGTTTTTTTAACGTGTCTTTACTTCATGTCCAATATTCCTGATTGGCGCAATTCTGCAAACATTATTAAAATCTCAAAAGTCAAGCGGTTGAGTAATGTCTGCACGGACCGAGGCAGCATGAGGGGTTGAAGCTATTGCACTGCTATTGCAGCTTAGAGACACCCAGTGAGGCGGTCACAGTTAAAACAGTGGTMGAAGATAAGCAAACATTGCATGTCAACTGTCTGAATTTCAAGGCAACCAGTGTTTAGTCTGCTTAAAGATGCTGTCTGCCATGAAGGATTTTAATCTAAGTCGCCACTACAACACGTTGCATWCAGTTAAATATGAGTTTACTGAAGTCACAAGTACATAAACCACTTTTTACCAGAGCCACACAGGAGCCTGCACTCGAGGCAGCTTTGCACTCCAGCTTGTTAAAGTACTTTTTGTTTGCTTCAAATGTTTTGTACTCATATTAAACAAGAGTACCACTTGTTACACGTGCATTTAGGCATGAACTGTATGTTGGTTTTGTTCACATGAGTAATTGTCATGTGAAGAAGGGGAGTTTGAAGACATTTATTTAGTCATTTAGAAACTGATTGTAGAAGCACCACACTATATTCATAATTTTCCTTTTTAAGTATTGATTCTCATAYACATAATAAAAACTGTTGATGACAYATCAGGAAAGGGTTTTTGCATGAGTGTCTGCGATTCAGCCATTGGCCAGTAGTCRGCGTACCAGGCACTGAAGAGCCATGTACGTATAAGTCGGGACTTCCGGTTCCCTTTCAGCGATGGTTTCGTGCCTGAACAGACAGCATTAAACCAGCGTTCACTCCAGCAACTGGTGTTGTATGGTCCATTCTCTTCACATTTTAATCTATTCAATATTTATGTGGTTTCGTCACGATTTCAGTTAACCAACACTAGATTTTCTTACAGTTTAATAAATATTTTATATGCACAA